GGGTGGCTAGGGTCTGGAACCAGCTTCCAAGTGAGGTGGTGCAGGCTCCCACCCTGGGGGTTTTTAAGAGGAGGTTGGATGACCACCTTATTGGGGTCATTTGACCCCAGTGCTCTTCCTGCCATGGCAGGGGGTCAGACTAGATGATCTGCTCAGGTCCCTTCCGACCCTAGAAACTATGAAACTATGAAAAGGAGTTTTCTGGCTCCCTGTTACACACTGGCAACTATCAAACCTGTAATGTACACATGTAGGCATTGCTTTTCTTCTGAGAATATGCCTTGGAAAATGAACTGATAAGAAGGAAACACCTGTACTGAAAGCCTAGCTCTCCAGATTTCTTCTTGTGTTAGTTTAAAGGTCTTGGTACTTATTTCACTATTAAAGGTAAAAAAGAAGAAAAAAAAAAAAGATGGGATACAGAACCTAGCAAAAGTATGCAAGGATAAACTAGAATGATACACTAGTGGAAATGCTGTAGTTCTTGCCCTAATTCATACAGCTGTACTTTCTTTTGTTTCCTATATATTTTTCAGTAAAAATGTACTTCTCTAAATCTCTGAAGAACACTGAAAAGCAGGCAGAATGCATCAGCCAAAAACAAACTGACAGATTCAGCTGAGTATATCAATTCTATCCCTTTTCCTGTTTTAAAAATAAGCAAATAATATTTTCCTCAGATTCCAAAGGAGCACTTGGTGCAGTATTCATCATAAATAAAGTATTCAGTGGATGCAGGCCAGATTATATTTTACAAATACTAGATGAATGGATAGACACCGAAAAACTTGCTCCTTACTTTAGACAGTATCCAACAGATTTTTTTTTAATCCAGAACATACTTTAAACCATTAATGGATTGTAAAATATTTATCATGACTATTTCTCTGCTTATTCTCTATTTATACTACTTGATTTGTCATCTGTCTCATGATATCCAGAATTTTACTTTTTTCACAATTAATTGACTCCAAAATTAATAATGTGCTTTTAAGAAGGTGGTAGAAATGTTTTCAGCCTGAATATTGTTTTACAAACCTGTGCTTGGCTCCAAGATAGCTAAGAAGAGAAGGACATACCCAGCCTATACAATGCACTATGCTGTGCCTGCTGTGCCCACAGGGACAAGACCATGACTATTTTTTCACCGGGAACTCTTCAGAGGCACCTGCTATCAGAGACATCTCTGAAGTCAGAATCTTTGAATCAGATGTGGTGCTGAAGCTCTCATCAGCTGTGCCATTTATAGCAAGATGGTGATAAATTGTCCCCATAAGGCTCAGAAGGACTTCACCTTTCCACCCAGATTCAAACCTACTCATACCACCCCCAGCCCACCTACAGAAACTGTGTTGAAGATGCACCTCCTGCAGTACTGTCTAAATGAGTTTAGATGTGGAAAAAAATTCTACAGTGTGATTTATATAATGTGCACAATACTTTCGTTTTCCATGAATATTCTTGCAAACAGTTCTCTGGTAATTATTTTTAAACAAAGAAATTAATAAAATCATAACTGTATTTTGCTTCCTCATTTGCCAATTATATCAAATGTTTGGTTCTCCTTGAACCCAAGTCAGTAGAATACAGTCATCTATATGTTCTATACTAAATGATAAATATTACCAGTATTTTAAAATGTTATTTAAGAACTGCTATTCCCTATTTGTATATGGCTGGGTTTGTTGATCGTCTGATATTCTGAACAACAAAAACTTGATACTTCATAGGTTGATAGCACTTTATCTTGTCATTTAAAACTGGCCAGATCCTTAGTTTGGTATAAATCAGCTGTAGTTTTATTGAATGATGGAGCTATACCAGTTTGTGTCACCTGAGAATCAAGCCTACCTTTTTACTCCTCATATATCTTTGTCTGTATGGTAGTCTTAAAAAGTAATATGAAGGTTAAGTAGAAGTGTGGATTGTCCCACATAGCAGCTAAGTCCCTAATATCTGAACTGGAGCTGATGATATCCTTGGTGTGCTAGAGCCCAGTCTAGTATGATGTGAAAACCAAGTCCCTGTTCATAAAGGAACTGGAGGAAATAGAAAATTTCTTCCAAATCTTTGAATTCTTTCTATTGTAAGCTAAACAGAGGTTGTTGAACATGACCAGCTTCTACAAAAATCAAACTGCTTCTTAAGAAGCTGAATATGAAAGTATCTGCAGTACATTCCTTCAGAAAGCTGTGGTTTTTAAATTTATTTTTATTTTGTTTGTTTGTGTGTTTTTCAAAATTCTGATGAGAGAAGAAGGGCAGTTCCTTTCCCCCATAAAGGAACATAATTATCTTGTTCAATTGTTCGGAAAGCTTAGTAGGGTGCTTAATAATCACAGAATGTAAGTAATTTCAGGACATATGTTCAATTTAGCATATTAGATCTCAGTGAACAGTTTCAGAATTATAAGCTTATCCAAACAAGCCCTATTTAAGTCAGCTGAACCAAGCCAATATATCACATGGGTTCATGGGACTTCATGATCCAACACGGTGGTATTTTGAGTTCAACTGCATTATCCAATCATGCCACCACTCAGAAAAGCTCATCCCCAGGACTCAAAAGGAAGAATATGGGCAGAAAGCCAGCCAAGAAGAAAGCAATGCTCAGGAAGCGCATTATTGCCCTTTAGATGAGCATCAGTAGATCTCATTATCTTGTAGGTCAATTCTCCATTTGAGCAGAGAGTGGTGATAGTCAAGATATGTTCTAGCATAATTTGTTTACTTAGAAACCTTACACAGTTTCTGCTCGTTTGATAGAGAGGTGACAAGTAAGTGTGCATAGATGGCAGTGTTAATTATTAATTGAGCTTCAAATGCATTTGTGTCAAGATAAGTGTCAAGAATGGTGGGTAATTTCTTCATCATATTTTTGTTTACCATGCATCATGAACAAAGTCAGCAAACCTTTCTGTAGTAATTTAAAACATGCTCCTAATCACAGAAACTAAAAATAAGAAGTTTGATTGTTCCCATAGATTTGCTTGTTCTCTTAATCAAAGTTTGACATTTTGGAGATAGGGAGAGATCCCTACAGTATATAAAAGCACTACAGAAGAAAATATCTATAGTCCACTGACAGAAAGAAAGGCTAAAAAGAAAACTTTGTTGAATGAAACCATGTAATTACAATAGTCATATTCAGGAACTGATAAATGTTTTCCTGGTTTCCAGTCTGCTCTAAATAGGGATATAAGAAATCAGCTAGGTTTGCTGCCTTTGGTTCAAGCAAGTAAGTATGTAAACACCAATCATTCTTTCCTGTTCTTGTCAAAAATTGTATTCATCCTTGCAAAATATTTAGTAAAAAGTGCTGATCCTTCTTCCTATGATCTTTTTAATGTATACATAACTCTATCAGTTTACTCATTTGGGGGTTTTGGAAAGTCTTGAGTCTTGGCCCTTGCTGCTCTGATCATTTCTGGTTTTCAACCAATGAATGTCTAGTGTAAAGTGGATTAACAGTCCTGACACATCTAATTACTCTACTACATTCTCATTTTGGAATTAGTATGTATAAAACAGAGTGATGTGTTTCAGCACTGTAAATTAGTGGTATGGGCATGGACAAAACATTCATGTGGACCAGTGATTCTCAACCAGGGTGTCATGGCATGTGCAAACATGGTTCGCCAAATAAACCCTGAGATTTCGCATAGGAATCCATAGTGTCAAAAACATTCTGACTTGTTGTGCTTTTTCTAAGCTCTTTGGAATTTGACTATTTTTTCTGTAGCAAAAAATTAAGTGAAAACTAAGATCTGGAATTTTCCAAAGGGTGCCTTGAGTCTAAAAAGGTTAAGAATCATTGATATAGACAAACAGGACGTGTCTACATGATAACATGCTATGGTGCAGTAGCGTTGCTGGGCACTAACTGTGAGGTGACACTACTGCACAGTAGCAATGGAAAAAAAACCATGTGGCAACAGTACTGCACACTAACACTGGTTACTGTGCAGTCATTTAGTATTTGCTATGCAGTAACAACTGTGCAGTCCACCACACATGTAAATGCAGCCACAGAGATGTATGGCATCTTTGTCAGCCCTAAATCTAGATTTAGTGCCACAATCTTTTTAGTTTTATTATTCACTCCAACTTGCAACAGCATATCCTTTAAATAAACACATTTTTGACCTTTACCAGAGGTTTTCTGTTTCTGATTTAGTTTTCTCTAAAAAGGTACATTTCATGCCTAGCTAAATACTGTTATTTTTTTTCACATATTCTTGCCTCATGAACATGGAGGTCTCAAGGACTGGTGTCAACAAAATAGTTTTCAAATTAATTGAAAACTGTAGTCATCTTTGTAGTACATGTGCATGTTATGTACTAAGTACCCCATCATACCATTGATTGAAAAGTTAAAGAAAAGTTTCTATAAAGATCCTACAAAGATTCTCATAACAACCATAAGACATTGATAAATACATATCAGGAAACCAACATTTTACTGCTCCTGTTCAAAAAGGTACATCAAGCATATAAATTACATTATCTCACTGAGACTACTCACAAGTGCAAAGATAGGTATGTGCTGAGGTACCTGTCTGAACTGGGACCCAAATGAGGTCAATTACCATATCATCAAAACTTAGTGGATTCCCAGCTGTCTGCAAAATTCCTTTTTATCTTTTACTAGACTTTGACTGCTACTGGGACAGGGCTTGGGACATTTGGATTCCATTACTTACTTTGCAACAAACTTCCTGTGTGATTATTATCACTTAATTTTAGAGCTTGGCCAGACATATATTACAATACTTTAAAAAGGAGCAGTATGTGTCAGCTAGCCAATGTAAGTGATCTGTCCATTCTTTACCTACTCTACATAACATAAGCCATAAGAATTTTTTTTAAATTTATTTTGAGGTAAATTACTGCATTTGGCTTTAATTATTTATGGGTTAGGAGCCAACAAATATAATAGACTGAACTTAAGTGCAGTGCAGCAAACCTTTCCCCCAATCTTTTTAAATGGTATAACTATTTTGGCTGTCTATGCTTTTTCCATCACCTGTAAATTGAATTTCCCTATTTCCTAAAGGGATATTATGAGGATAAATTAATTTGTATGATAATAGGGACATTAGAATTTAGATAAGTCATTTAAATGAAGAGCTTCTTAGCCAGTTATTGAACAGACTGAATTGTGCTTTTGTTTTCTTTTTTCAGGTTTATCAATTCTGAAAAATTGTGTTTAATTTCTACTGATTTTTTCAGGGTATTTACTGAAATGATGCTAAGGTTTTCTATGTTTTAAGTTCGTATATCATTTATCTACTAAAATCTGTTGTGTACAAGCTTGTTTTCAGTAGATCCTCACTGACATTGCTTGCTACCTGTCAGACCAAACATTTTCAGTTCCAGTTCTATTTTTCTTTTAATTCTCCCATGAATTTTTGTAGGAAATCTCTTTTATTTTCAATCTGTCTTGTTTCAGACTTTCTCTACATACATGTATGGGGGGCTTGGTTCAGTTAGTGAAATACGGGCCATATGAGTCAGTGAGTGTGTCTACACAAGACACTTTACTGCACAGCAGGTTAATATACTGCACAGTGAAGTGTCACTATGTAACCATGCAAAGGAGCTACTGTACAGTAGATTAGTCTACTATGCAGTTTTTTACAACCTGTAAATACAGGTTGTAGATATACTGCACAGTAGCACACTGTAACATACATGACCAGGAGCACATTGTTCCCAGTCAGCCTAAGCAACAGGTGGCAGGAAAACAATCCCCTCCATTGGGAGCTGCTTGCTGCCAGGGCAGGCTCTGATCTCAGTTTCAGTGGGTTTTCAGTGGGGCCAGGAGCTGCCTGCTGCTGGGGACAGTAAGCAATGTCCCAGCCCTAGCTCTGATCACAAAGCCAGGGCCAGGAACTGCCTGTTCCTATGGTAGTTGTCCCCACCCAGGCTCTGAGATCAGAGCCTACCTCACAAACAGGCAGCTGCCAGGGGCACAGAACAATGTCTCAGCCCCCTGTCTGATTGCAGAGCTGGGGCCAGGAACTGTCTGATGCCAGGGGCAGCAGACATTATCCCAGCCCAGCTCAATGATCAGAGCAGGGGTTGGCCACCAGGCAGCTGCCTGAGGCAGGAGTGCAGGATGAGAAGCAGTTGCCTTGGAGGCAGAAGAGTTTCCCACACCCCCTAGATCCCAGACCTGACACAAGTCCCCACTCCCAGCCCAGGGCTGGCACCCAGGAGTACTTAGAGCTTACCCTGGCTGCCATATAGTAACAGAGCAGGACATAAGTATCTCTGCTATGAACCACCTCCATCAGGAGGAAATTTACTCATGATGGACACGTGTTTAGACATGCGCTCAAGGAAAGCTAACTGCAGTATTTTACTGCACTCGCAAGCCAGGAGCAGCGGGGAGAGGAGGACGTGTGTCCTGCATGCATGTGTGCCCCCTTACCGGACCCAAAGCAGAGGCGAACACAGCAGCAGCAGCAGAGGCAAACATGGGGCAGAGGGACCGACGCAGCTGAGCTGGATCCGGAGGGGAAGCTCCCCAGTTCCCTCTTAACTCAGCCAATAGGGAGCTGCACAAACAGAGCGCGCAAAGAGGGGAGGGCTAGGGGGGATTGTCCCTGCAAGCCAGGGAGCACCCCTGGGGTTGACCCTCGGGGAGCAGGCTCAGGAGGCACTGGATCCCCCCAACAGGAGAGCGCAGGGGGCGGGATCACCGGCAGGCACTTCCGGTGAGACCAGAGCACCTGATTGGTGGTTGGGGCAGCGGCGGGAAATTCAAACCACAGCCTTTAAAAGCCACAGTTTGACATAGCTCCCAGCACTCTGGAGCCAGGAGCAGAGGGGAGAGGAGGGATTCAGGCGCATGTGTGTCCCGCACGCACGTCTGCCCCCTTACCAGACCGAGAGCAGAGGCAAATGCAGCAGCAGTGGGGGCCGCAGCAGCTGATCCCCCTAAGGTAAGTGGGGCAGAGGGAGCGACGCAGCTGAGCTGGGTCCGGAGGGAAAGCCCCCCGGATCACTCTTAGCTGAGCCAGTAGAGAGCCGCACGAACAGAGCACACAAACAGGCGCGTTCTGTAAGCGTGTGCCGGCAGGCAACCAGGAAGGGCCAAGAGGCAGACTCCTGCTAGCGCGGGGCAAAGGCACCACACTCAGCCAGAAACAGGCAGCAACTCCTACGATGGTGTCGACACGGAGTGCTGCCAGGGCTCCTTCCTGGGGGGCACAGCTTTCCTGGGGCTTGTCTGAGGCCTCCACCCAGACAAAGCCCACGGGGGGGCTGGCGTCCCCCAACCTCCTGGCCTGTGGGAGTTGCCCAGCAAGGCCTGGGGGGCAGGGACTGAGGACCCCCACACCTGTCCTGCAGTTGCCTGCCTTAGGGCCCTGGAGGTACAGGTGAGAGAGCTCCAGGAGGAGGTTAGCAGGCTGAGGGGAATCAGGGAGGCAAAGGAAGAAATTGACAGCTATTTTCGTAGTTTCTAGGGTCGGAAGGGACATGAGCAGATCATCTAGTACGACCCCCTGCCATAGCAGGAAAGAGTACTGGGGTCAAACGACCCCAGCAAGGTGTTCATCTAACCTCCTTTTAAAAACCCCCAGGGTAGGAGCCTGCACCACCTCTCTTGGAAGTTGGTTCCAGACCCTAGCCGCCCTGACCGTGAAATAGCGCCTCCTGATGTCCAACCTAAACCTACCCTCTGCCAGCTTGTGACCGTTATTCCTGGTCACTCCTGGCGGTGCTCAGGGGAACAGTGACTCCCCAAATGCCTGCTGATCCCCCCCGACTAGTTTATAACAGGCCACTAGATCCCCCCTCAGCCTTCTCTTGTGGAGGCTGAACAGGTTCAGGTCCT